GGGGGGGGTTTGTCCCAGGTTTTGTAATAATAACCATCTCTTTAATGCCTTGCCGAAAGAGCAAAAAAGTCGACAACCCTTTTCTTGATTTAAAACTGAAAAATGTTTTCACTGTTGTAGAAAAGGAAATACAATTCGAAAAAATTGAATATTTTGTCAAATTTCTTCATCAACTCTTAGATGTTTCTGGTATTGATCAAATGATGCTTCTCGGTAAATCTAGCCACTGATTTTCTCATTTTTAGTAAAAATACTCTATTTGTAGGGAATATGTGTATTTACCATCGTAATAAGTAACTAGTTAAGATATTAGTCAAATATATATATGACTATTTGAAAAACCTGCGTATATGTAGTGTACGTAATAACGTACGCTACATAAGAGAATTAGTTAAAGGATTTGCTAATGGTAACTACTTAGGAACCAAAAAAGAAGTCTTGCAAGAGTTGATGAACCATTTTGATAGAAAAGTTCTTTCGTTTAACTGAAAAAAAAAAAAGAAAAAGAGCAACAAAACTTTTACATTATGTAACTGCAAGTGTAAGTGGACTAAATTCGCTAATTAACGGCGCCTCTAAGTGTACGAGAAATAGAATTGGGGAAGTGTAATCATTCTGCCTCTGGGACTTTAGTCTAATGATAAAAGCGTAGCGTGTGATGTGTAAATTATGCACAAATGACAAATTAATACTCTAGTGTAGAAAATTTTTTAGTATCCATGTGAAGAAGGATAATGAACAATTTCATTTCGAACTGTGCACCACTAATTATCTAGTCCACAAAAATTTGGCGACATGAGAAAGAAAAGTCTGTGGACCATTCCTATAGAACAACTAACAACATCTTTTATTTAAAATAGAAAAGCAGAAAGCAACTGAGATTTTGATAGGATAGGTTCATGAGAGCGATCTTCGACAGATTTTTCTTTTAATAGAAACAGAAACAGACTAATAAATGAGTTTGCCCGCCTGCAAATGCAAATTTCCTTTCTTTTTCTGCATTTTGGTTGTCATCCTTTCTCATGACTCTGCCATTTATTTACTGAAAATGGATAATACTTCTGTCCCTTGACAATGAAATATTGAAATTTATTTGCATTTTACACCAATCAAAATTGTGTCTTTTTCTTTTTTACAGATGTATTCTATGACTATTTCATATACGTTAAGGGAGACTCTGCGTCTCCGTCATATACACTATACGTTATAAATACAGATTTTATTCTACGGTTAATTAGTTCACTCGTTACTTAACGCAAGATTTAGAGTATCGTCCCTTATAATTGCATTATTGTGCCTTAACTGTAATGACTCAAAGCCACATGGAATAGTTAAATATGAACACAAATGCTGAATTATCTAATTAGGCACGTTAGCATGGGGTATTCCTATTTGAGATGAGCATATCTTTACTCCTATATTATACTAAACGTTACATTTCTAATGTGGATTGATCGAAGAAGTTATTTTTCTAGTAACTTTATTATGTATGGAAACAACAATGTAACACCTTTTTAGGTTCCATTAATTATATCTAGATGGCCTTGAATTATTTGATTTAGATTATCAATCTTTTATTTTTCTCAAGATTTCTCCAACCATAACGACATGAATTTATTCAAGAATCTCTCATCACAAACCTTTATGCCAAATTTACATGAATAAGAACGAAATTATATGACATCGTATGTACATGAAAATCAGGGGGTGGGGGTGCGGAATATGTATATGTATGAAAGTTAGTATGTTTGAGTATACTCATTATCTTTGACTCGTGTTATAAAAAATATATGAATGAAAGAATAAACTAAATAGTCGTTCACATATTCACTTAAACTAAAAATAGTAAGCGAGTGATATATATATATATATATATATATATATATATATATATATTCAATTATATAATACGTGCATAATCGTGTATAATCAGTTTATATATCTGTTTAACCAAAAATTAGATTTTAGGTCAAAGTTCGAATTTAGAAGAACTCGGGTTACTGATAATCGGAAAAGTATATAAGAAAGAAAATTTTGAATGATATAATCAGAAAGCAAATAAAACAAAGTATATTCCAGTAGTGTTTTTCGTGTCCCTTACAGATGTTGTGACTTCCTCTTTTTATAGTTAATTTTTAAGAGAAAGTGTAATGCCTTTGTTTTAATGAGGCAATTACGAGCAATAAATGATATTGAAAGAAACGTTACTCAATCATTCATATTAAATACAAATTCTCTAATGTATTTGGCATTTAATGCTGAATTTGGACTCTTTTTCGCTATCAGATTCATGTCTCCAATTCCTTCTGATCTTCGAACTTTAAATGATTCGAACAGGTACGAGTTTCGTTTCATTTGAATAATAGCTCGTGCGTTTAAGTATCTTCTCTCCCGCATCTGTTGTTGCTCGTGCTTTCTAACTAATTACCACGTTTTGACTATTTAACCGGTCCACGTGTCATGACACGTCATCTTCAATATTTAAATTCAGTTTTTTCCCAATACAGATAGTCCCCCCACTTTCCATTTATTTATCAATTAAATATTTGGGAAGTGGATCTTTCATTAAAAAGGGAATTTTTGCTATAATCAATGCTATGACAGTACTAACGCTTCAGTTGTCTTTTCTATTTAATGCATTGCATACGTGTCACCCTCTCATTAGCTTTGCAATTTTTGCAGCCTTTTTCCAAGGCTTCTTCAACTCCTCCATTCACGAAGTGATAGTTGCCTTTATTATAGGCTTTCCATCATTACACTTCTTAGTCTTTGACGGTCGCTTTTATATAAACTTAACCCTTCTTCCACAAATTTTTACCACAGTCGCCCATCAGTATAAATTCAATTTTTCCTTTCACCTTTTACCACATAAAACTTTTTCCTTGAACGCTTGAATTGTGCGAATCTCTGTTTACTTCTTTCTCTTCTTCATCATGTCTTCTTCGAACCCTAACCCTAAGAGAGTTCCTATCTTAGACAATTTTCCAAATGCTCCTNATTGATCTCTTCACCTCCACTTATAACGTTGACAGTTCTCTTGGGCGAAGGTGGTTTTGGAGGCTCCTGTCTGTTCTTCATGTATTCTTGTTTACCTTTCTCACTGAACAACTCAGT